TCTATACCGGAGCCGGAGGTACGATCTGACGAAGTGAGACAGCACAAAGCGCCATCTATCCCACCAGAATCGATAATCGCTGCTTTCGTTCATTTGTCCAGAGACAAGAGAAAAAGACTAGTCCATGCTGATGGGTAGCCAAGAAGCACGAAATTGCTGTACATGGTTGGCTACCTTTTTGGTTGGATAGACGAGAGCATCATTTATAGCTATCCAGTGTAGACCATATCTTATCGTATCTCTTATCTTCTTTACAGTCAGAGTCGTTAGCCATCTAGCGGTCACGTGGTGACTGGGCTTTTAAACGTGAACTGAGATCCCTAACAGTTCCAACTGAATAGCATCTATGCGCTTTGCGCAGTGCCGACTCTCGTGTGTCTTATTGAGATTCCCAATTATTGCGGAGAGGAGAAAGATAGCTGTCACAAATTTTCATAGATGACGCTAAGGTATATCATTTCACTTCAGCTATTTATGTAGTATCAGGTTGGCGATCTTTATGTAAAATGCCTCAAGCAATGCTTATATTCATTACCTTGGTCTAAAAAAAGAAACAATTTCGTTAGTAATTTATTCATAGGTATCCGTTCAAGCATAAACGGCTAAATACAAAGTTGTTTGAAGTCGGATACACATGAAGAAATGACAAAATAGTTTTGACTTACAGTAATATTTAACCTGTGACACTCTCACCAAAATAACTTTTAAATACGTGACTTCAATGAACAGAAAACGAATGAGTACTGATCACATTGTATCACAAACAATTTCTGTTTATAACCTATGCTAAAACAAAAAAATTGTTAACCCAAGCATTTCTACTTATGAGGTCATCATATGAGTACCGTAATTTTTTAGAACCCAAGCCGAACCCAGAGGAGCACCAACATAGACATTATGGTAACTTGTAGAATTTTCCAAAAAACTCAACCGTTCTACTAGCGAGGAGGTATTGTAAGAGCAAAAAACCTGAAAAACAAAAAATTGGGATTTTTGGATGATATTTGGTATGTACATGTATCATGAAAACCGTAAAACCGTGCATTTCCGTAGATCTGTTGGTCGGCCGGTCTGCCCCAGTTCAAGGACGACAAAAAATGTAGTTTCGGAAATCGTGCCAGTGGAGCCGGAGCCAGAGACAAAACACAAGAAAAATCGCTCAAGCTTTTTCATGAGCGTCTGGAGAGTGGGAGAGTATATACTAAGTGACATATAAATCCGAACACCCAGTTTAAATGGTTTTATTTTAATAAAATTATGTATAAGTACTTAATGAAGCATAATAAGTAAATGACAAAAATTTCAAAATGATTACACTGCTTTAAAGCCCTTTGACCTTTAATAATGTGTTGATGCACCCTGATGTGCTACGCATTCTCCAACGCGCCTAGGCATGCTTCTGATCAGGTGGTCAATGTCCTCCTGTAGTATCTCATTCCAAGTAACCACCAACTCCTCTCGAAGTGCTTCTAGAGTCTGAGGAGGACGTTGCTAATTGAGCAATCTCCTACCCATCATATCCCACACGTGCTCAATTGGGGATAAGTCGGGAGATCTTGGTGGCCATGCTAACAATGTGGCATCATTATGTTGAAAGAAGTCTATTGTGACTCTTGCAACATGTGGTCGGGCATTATCTTGTTGGAACGTTGGATCTGCCAGGGTGTCAAGATAGGGTAAAAGATGGGGTTCTAGAACTTCGTGGATATAACGCTGCGCGTTCATGTTACCTCTGATGAAGATTAAAGGTGACCTGGAACCATAAGCTATAGCACCCCAAACCATAACTCCAACAGTGTGATGAACATGTCTTTCAACAAAAAACTGTGGATTCCTCCTTTCACCACGTCGCCTTCTAACCCTCGCACGACCATCGTGCATGCCTAAACAAAATCGAGACTCGTCACTAAAGACAATACTGTTCCATTCCTGATCCCAGTGCACCACTCAAGGCGATTACGTCGGTGTTCTCGAGTTAAAGGGAGGACCCAGTGTGGCCGGTATGAAAACAAGCCAAAACTTCTCATTCGTCGGTAAACACTTCGCATGCCAATAGGTCTTCCGTGTTCTGCAAACCATTCATTTGCAATGGACCTGGTAGTGGAGAAACGGTCCCTTAAGGCCAATAATCTTAGGCGGTGCTCTTCACGGTCTGTTGTTCTACGGCGGCGTCCAGTGCCCCTTGCTCTTTGCGTACGGCCTTCTCGAAGCCATACCTGACAACACCTAACCACAGTGTCTACACTTCTTTGACTCTAACTGCAATTGCCCGAAAAGAAAGTCCATCTTCCCGAAGTCCCACTATACGGCCCCTATCAATCTCACTAAGTTGACGAAATCGTACAGATCTCCGTACTCGAGGCATCGTAACCGATCGTAAAAGATGTCAAGAATCAAAATCCGCCAACGTTGATTCTTTACTGCAGCTGAAATATTCATGTTTAGAGCGTTAGTGAATTAAAGAAAAGCAGTATAAAAACCGGAATGTCCAACTGATAAGGGCGTAAATTTTTTCACTTGTTATTTACAGTAAGATAAATACATTCACCAACTTTTATTAAAATAAAACCATTTAAACTGGGTGTTCGGATTTATATGTCACTTAGTATATTTTTAGTTTGTCGTATTAGTATATTTGTACGCTTGCAACCCCTTTAATTCTGCAATTAAAACCCCTAACTAGAATGTTATAAGAAGTATTTTCCACACACGCATCTCTGGATTATACCTGCGTCGCAGTCCGACCGATGATCGATACTGTCGGTATGAGAGGGGAGAAATTTCTAGATTGCAACTTTGTCAAATGTACAATTGCATTATCCTGTTTGACTTACTAGATCCATTTGATATTTTTGTTATATATGTTCGCGGATAATTTTCCTCTGAGAGGGGCTAACTTCCTGTACCATAACGAGCCAGGTAGTCGATTAACTACTCTCGGAAGTGGGTCGCGGGGCTGTTGGATGTGTACAGCACAATTCACTATGACAAGTTGGTGCTGCGTGCCTGGATGCAAAATAAGGGATGGAAATGGAATTGAAAAAATTAATTCATCCATAGACTTATCGAAATAAGACAGTACAAGGTGCCATCTGTTAACAGAATCGGCCTCTTCGAAAGTGAAAATGCTTCGCAGTGGTCGATTCTCGTAACAGATGGCACTTTGTGCTGTCTTTATAGACCGTATACTATGGATAGAGAACAGTTGCTCAGCTTTTGTTCATTGTCCTACCTGAGACCAAGCCTGCTCCTGAAGAGTTACCAAATAGTAAGAAACAGCAGTCCATGGTTGGTACTACAGTTGAATGATAAATAAAGCAACAAAAAACTGTGGGTTCTCTTCTTGGGAGGTATCAAAAAACGGATCTGAGTTCTTGAAAAAATGTCGGCATTTTTAGAAATCATGAGGTCAAACGCCTTTTCGCGAGTGCCCCTTCTACTGATATCTCTATATTCTTTGCTCACAGCCAAGTCTCGCTGACTCTCCCTACCTACTGGTAATAGGGAGCTGAAATACTGCCATTCACTATTACTGCCGACCTTACACTAATAATGCCAAGTAGAGACTGATGTTAAAATTGTTTCAGAATTTTAGTGGTTGGGTGTATTTCCGTGCACTATTTCTAACATAGAAATAATGGGATAAAATAAACTTTTATCTTGTTTAAAAGTGTACCAGGACCTAACCTTATTAATTATAAATTTTTGCTATTGTTTTTGTACTTCTTCGTGTTTTGCAACTCGTTGGAGTTAAATATCAGTCTTTTTGATTTGAATGTTACGGCCAAAGGGTCCATGATTTTCACCAATTAAACTTACAATCAACGAACACTATAAAATAATAGCGAGAAAATTGCAAAGGAAATTCGCTATTCGCGCAGAAAGAAAGAAAATAGTATTGACTGTGCCACGATCTCAAGCATCCTGTAATAGTGGCAGGCAATAACTTTATTACTTACAAGTCTTATATTTGTTTTACTGCGCCTGCTCAGATGTCAAATACGGCCAGGAATTATTAGTGCCTGACTTCATTGGACGTTCGATAGCACCCTAATAATACGCCGATAATATGTGCAGTGCCATGTCAAAACTCATTTTGCAGGACCTAGCGAGGATCCTGAAGCAATAATTCCACTTTTATTACAATCCTCTTGATGCCCTCACGGTGCTTCCATATTGAATCAAAATCTGAAAAGTTCGCAACATAGGTGTAAAACTGGCCGGCCGCTGGCACGATTCGGAAAATGGGTGACAATTTTTTACCGCACGTTCCCCTTTTACGCCACTTCCGCTTTATGGACGGATGCTGCGAAGGGACGGACGGTTATTTCCGGGAAAGGTTCAACTGGATCATGTCTTAGGTATATCGCACACAGGTCAAAGCTTGTGGTTGTACATTTGGAGTAGCAGCTTTCAATTTGGATCCTTCAGGGTATAATAATGAAAAATAATAGGGTATGTTTCTATGACAGCTTCTTGTTGAACTTGTTTCGATTTTCACAGTTTTTATTGTTTTAATAAGGAATAAAGAACTTCAATCAGAATGTCTGGGTTATTGAGCAGCTACCCATAACCAGTACCGACGGTATGGTCTTACCGTCTAAAAAGGGATACGTCCACTAAAATTTTTGTGGCAAAGTCCACAATGGACGTCCCTCTAAAGGTTCAACTATGTGATATGTACTAGTATAGTTTGGCAAACGGATCTGCAACAGCGAAAGGAATGCGACCGAAAATATTCGATATTGCCAAATTTAACCCAGATACCCCTGAAACTCTTAATGTTTGTTTTTTGTTATATACTTTTGTAAACCTATTAATTGGGTTAATATAAACATATTTTCCTAGTAAAATTTTTTAGTTCCGCTTTTAGGTTTTTCTGTAAAAGCCGTCGGTTTAAACGTACGGTAGCAATATAAGGTACTAAAACTCAATATTCTTATGAACTTATAAAACTTTATTTAGAAACGAAAAAAAAATTTTAAACCAATAATAATAGATTAGTTTTTAGTATGGTAACTTAAAAAACACATTATTGGATGAAGTGCAACATCACACTTCTGGAATCTGAATACTGCTTGTTTGTGGCAAAATGCGCAGCGGGTTTGCTTTTCCTGATAATTCACAAGATGATCCATCCGATCATATCTGGACTCATAATGCAGGTATTTGCCTGGTTTAGATGGCCCCCGTTTTGTTTCTTTCTTATAGGTTTCTAATAATCCCGCAGCAATACACCTCCTAAACCGCAAATGGTCCATTTTTCCGCCAGAATGTTTATGAAGTTGCCATGCGTTTTGTTCTGCCATATCCAGAGCATGTGAAAACAAGCAAAAATACCACTTCTTTCCCCTGATTCCTACGCGGTAAAGGCTTATATTTTGGTCAGCCCTATCAACATCGCCCATGTTTTCGTTGTATTGTTTGATCAAACATGGCTGCTCAACATGTATCATTTTCTTTTCTTTCTGAGAGAAGCGTTTGACTTGCTGTGTCGGAAAAGGAGATGTTAAATTTGAGGCGATTGTCACAACACTATTGTCATTCCATTTACATACAATATTATTTTGGTTCTCCTCCAAAAGATAATCAAAACTACCACGGGATTTTTTCTTGAACAAACTGGATTTTTCAAGAGGGCAATCTGATAGTCTGTTTTCTCGCAGAGGTCCTGAGCATTTGAGCCCCTTGGAGGTCAGCTCAGCCAACAGAGGTAATGACGTAAAAAAATTGTCACAAAAGATATGGAAAGGAGCGTTTCCACATTGAGACTGAATAATATCAGCAAACTGATGTACAACACTAGCCCCTAAGCCAAGAGGACGATATTTTTCAGAAATAATAGTTGTGGACCCTTGATATGGCTCAAACCATTCAATGTACCCCTTTTTAGTTGTTCCCACCCATACCTTATAACGCCAACGAATGGGCTTTCCTCGGATAAACTGTTTTGATCCATGACCGCCGTAATAGGGTACCATCGACTTGTCCACGCTATGGCACTCTTCAAGCGGTGCAAATGACTCAAATTTCTCATTCAGAGTAGAAAACAAGGGCCTCAGTTCACAACCAAGTCAATGATTTCGTCATCTGTAAACTGAAAAAATAGTTCTAAAGGAGATAAAGAATTTTTGGACCACTTGCGTTTACCCATTCTGGAAAATCTTGGTTGATGTCACCTTTTTTCCAAGAGTAACCTGGTTTTGATAATTTTGGTCCTTTTTTCGTAAGAAAGGTAGAGAAAGGTCGTCGCTATCAAAATCACTCTCAACTGTAGTTTGGTTTGATCCCTTGTTTTCAAATACAACCTCAACTTCAGTCATCAGCTGACTTCCAGGGAGGTTGCTTATATCCACTTCATTTTCGTCGCCGGAATCCTCATCAGTGTTATATTCATTTGCGTTAACTGGCGGTAGAACGGCAATAGTATCAGGAATCAACTCATCGTCATCAATGTTTTCAATTTCTGCCATGAGTTCATGAAGTTTCATGGGCCGCTTCCAATAGTTCCAATAACTGCAAATATAAGAAAAAAAATCGAATAATACCAGATTTTCCTACTGTCCGTTAAAACGGACATCGGTATTTGAGGTTATATTTTTGCCGGTGAGATGCAAATTTTTAACTTATTTGTTTACAATAATAAAGATTGATGTTTTCTAAAATTACTTATTCACAAGATGGAAAAATAATATGAATAGTTTATCAGTATACTCACCTATAATTATCCATTGTTCACAACAAACTAAGCACCTGTTATTCCAAACACTTTCTCGCATACAGAACTCTCCCATTAAGAGGTTAGAACAATAAATTTCGCTTAAACACGTGTTTCTAACAGCGAATAACCCAACGCTATCTAACGCGGAGTGACAGAGTTTCAAATTTGAAGTGAAATATTAGGTGATTGTTATAACGGACGGTAGGGGTATCTGGGTTAACTACAAAAAAGCAATAATGAAGTAATTTCAACGATTTGAAAATCGATTTTTCGCAATTCCTAAAAATAATAATTCAAAATACTGAGTATTTTAATGGGTTGTTAGCTCTATTTGTATTTAATAACCATTTTTTACTACTGAATCGTATTATAAGTAAACATTTTTCCAAAGATCTTATCGACATCGGTTGAGCTGGCAACAATCACCCGAAAGGTATATTGGACACCGCCTGAACGAAACTGATTGGCGGATATCCTCACATGTTTTGTCGCCATGAGAAAATTCGACTGCCTATTGGCTAGCGTCCCAGACAATGGTTTGCTCCTTTCTTAGAATATCTATACTATTGAAAAGTCCAGTGGCGTAGGTTTTATCTCCGTTGATTGTCGTGTATGAGTGTACAACTATTATTGTTAACTATTTATTGTTCTATTAAGTTTGTATGTTTAGTGCTGTGTGTTTTTGAATAGTTTAAGTGTTTTGTTATTTGTTATTGTTATTCGTTTTAGTATTATTTTTTTAAAATGAACCAATTTACTCGCGGAAAGACGCTTCATAGCCAAACAAGAGAAGTGATTGCGAATGTTTATAGGTTAGTAATAATAATATGCAATAATTGTAGTTAACGACTGAGTATGAGTATAAATAAAAAACAAGGAAATGCTAAGCTAACATTCTGATGATTATTTATAGGATTTGCGATGAGAAAGCGGCAAACAATTCCCTCAAGTTGCTGCTTAAACGTAAGCTTGATAGGGTGTCCCTTTATACCGGATTCGGAGTATCTTCTGTTAGGAAAATTCATAACGAAGATAAAGAAAGACTAGAAAATAACGCCAATACAATGTTATCCAGTCCCGGGAAAAAAAGACCGCGTCAGTCTCTTGTTGAGAAAGATGAAGATTTTGATTTTCAGATTATTAGACATTTGATAAACAGATTTTATCTTGAATATAAAGTTGTCCCGACAACTAGGAAGTTATTACAAAAGTTGCGAGAAGACTCAAATTTCCCCTATTCTAGGGAAACACTCAGGAGTTTATTAAAATCAAATGGTTTTTTTTTGGCGCAAATGTCAAAATAAAAGAAAAGTTTTGATGGAGAGGCCTAATATATTGCAATGGAGGTACAAATACATCCGTGAAATACGTAGATATCGTGAAGAAGAGCGCAATATTGTTTATTTGGACGAAACCTGGGTGGACAATGACTTGACTTTCAAAAAATGCTGGCAGAGCGAAACTGTTTCTGGTGTAATAAGCAGTATAGGTTCTACAGGTAAGCAAAATGCTATATATATGTTAAATTTAACTCTGATTTGTAACATATTATATAATCGTCTTGTATATTTTAGGTTCAGAAAATGGATTTGTTGACAATGCCTGTTTGATATTTAAGGCGGGATTAGCTACAGGTGATTACCACGGTCGGATGAATCGGGAAAATTTCACACGCTGGCTCACCGAAAATCTCCTCCCGAATATACCTTCCAATTCGGTTATAGTATTTGACAATGCTCCATATCATTCCGTCCAGGAAGATAAAACCCCGACAAAATCATCTTCGAAAAAAGATATAATGGCCTGGTTGACAAAGAAAGGTACTTATGACTCAAAACATGCATGTACATATCAAACTATACAATAAAATATTTTATAGGCATAAATCATGAGGCAACTGCCAGAAAATTTGACTTGTTCGATCTGGTCTTACTTCATAAGCCCCCTGACAACCAAAAAAATTATGTAGTTGATCGGATCATAAGATCACATGGACATACTCCTCTAAGAACACCTCCTTATTTATGCGAGCTAAACCCAATTGAATTAGCTTGGGCAAAGTTTAAATTTCATATAAGAAGCCGCAATACCACTGGAAACTTCAGTTTAACCGCAATGAAAGATGTTACTCAGGAAGCGATGTCCTTAATATCCATTAGTGATTGGCAAAAATTTTGTCAACATGTTAGGGACATTGAAGATAAATTTTGGGAAAATGATAAATTCATGGAGGAAATGGAACCAGTTATAATAACTATAGAGCAAGATGACGACAGCGAAACTGATGACGACAGTGACGATGATGATAATGATGAACTTGACGAACACCAATGCTAATTCAATAGGTGAAATGTAATTTAGAAATGCTGTATCATGTAAGTATTATTTATTACAGAGGTTATAAGTTAAACGGATATGAAATATGTTTAAAGTACTTTGTTTCTGTTTAAGCGACACCGATGCTCTAGAAATATCCACATCAACAGTCCGAAATTGCTACAATAGGAATCCAGAAAGATGCGGATTATAAAATAAAAATTAATTCTGTTTCGGCTTGTGGCACTTTTTAAAGTAAATGAGCATATTATAAGATCACGGATGTATAATATACAGGGTGACTTCGAAGTTGAGTCATTTATTTTAACAGTGAGTAGATCTGATCAAAAGAAATGTTTTTTTCCTTTACCATTTTTCTGGTAAAATTAAAGTAACAAAGTTATAGCCCTTTGGAAGTTTGAGTACCGCCCTGTTTCAATAATAATATCATGTGCTCATGTTTGGCAACAACGGATATAATCCGCCTTATCGGTTCATCGCATGGGAAACAAAAAAGCGAAAGAATTTGGAACGATGTTTTTACAATTATTTTATTCAGTTCAGTTATGCATACAGTCAGTGTCAGTCGGTAACGCGTGTGAATAGTGTCTGTTGCGTGGCTCAAACGAAATAAAAAATGGCACATGTTTATGCGGATCGGTTTCCCAATCGAGTGCAACCAACCCCTCGTGCCTTTGTTAATGTAGTACAACGGGCTCGTGAATCAGGTGACTTAAGACCTCACAGGGGACCTCACGATCAAATACAGGTCCGTACTGAAATACTTGTCGGGAGGATACTTTATAAAACAAGGTAAAAAAATTTTTTTATTTTTTTTTTATTTTTACACACATATTTTGGTTTATCTTCCTTCTACAATCATTATCTGAAAATTAATGACTCAACTTCAAAGTCACCCTGTATATATATTCTCAAGGTAAAAAACCACGTTAAGTATCTATTTGTATTTGAAAAATATATTTTATTTACGGCTTTGACAAAAACGCTAGCTTGATTTTCAAATTAGGTTTTAAATCGCGCAGTTATCATGATTTTTTGAATTGTGGCAATTTTGGGAAGTGAGTAGACATTTTTCCGTTTGTTGAAGTGTAGAAACAAACTCAAGTGTTTTTTTACATGGTGTAGACTGAAGAGAACAGCTATTTTTGAGTTTACTCCAGACTTTATTTATTATTATGGTCAATGCTCCATATTATTGTGGGCTTATTGAGATACTTCCCAAATTTAAAGTGAAAGATAAACGTATAGTTTACTAAATTTAAACCAATTATGAAATAATCCCAAACTTTTATAAAATACCGCACGCCGCTGGCATTTTATGAATGAAACCAGCCATGTTTTGCTTTCCCCTCACCGATACCCCGATGTTGCAGATCCGTTTGCCAAACTTTAGTAGTACGAACAAGCATGTGATTTGTTTTGATCTCCGAGATAGTCTGCCTATGAGAGCTGCACTGGGATTTCCATTAATAGCCATATTGTCCAGTCAATCATCATCAAGTAGTTTCTGAGGTCTCCTGACCTAACACTTTAATCTTGACGTGACATGACGTTTCTGCACAGAGCATGAGGAAACCACAGAGAATCTCATGTGTCATTGCGAATGCCTGGCAAGGCTACATGCAAGGCATTATGTCAAGGCTATGCAGTCTGAATGAAGAATCAAGGATGGACTCGCGCTTTAGAAAGTATATACGGGGGACACAATAGATCCATTTGGGTTGCAGTGACGTTGAGGCTAACAAGCCAACCCCTTTCTCTTCTAATTTGCTTTTACTCCACATTAACAAGAGCTTTGTGGGTCGATGACAACCTGAGCAGTACCAATGAGTTGGAAAGAATTAGATGGTTAGTATTTTCATTACTGGTGTAACACTTGAAGGAACTATGATAAAGGTAAATGATTCTAAAGCCACATCTCCGCAGACCTAGTTATGAACGATCTGATTCCATTATACCTTGCAATAAAGATAATGTTCAAAACAAGGTAATCATTTGACCCATTTTATTACATGACAGGAAATAAGTTAAGTAAAGTCAATTTCAACTGTAGTTAAGATATTCTGACGAAAGCTGATGTCCATAAAGCTTAAGCTCCGTTTTTTTGTGACATAACGTATGTTTCTCTACAAGATGTTAACTTAGCACAAGCTGTTGTACGCTTATTGTGATCTCATTTTGTAGCTGTCCGTGTTGCTTAAACGTCAGCGATCAGCGACCATAGCGAGCAAACGTGGAATGAACTACTTGCACACTAAAAACTACTTAGTCTGCAAGATGACATTCGGTCGGTTTTTTTACGTTTTTTAGGTTTTTTACGTAATAAAACTGCCGTGCGGGCAGGAGCGGCCAACAGGGCAATAGTGTCGAACCTTTTTTTCCTGAGGGGGGCTATAACAGCTTTCTCATATCAAAAGAAAACCTTTCACGCGTCAGGGTACTGAAGGCTGATTTGGCATTTATCTTAGATTCGATTTTATATTTGAGATAGATGCTGGCTGAAAAGAAATGTTGTTGTATGTACACGGCTAGGAAGCCCTCTCCCCACCAAGCAAACCTCTTCCATGTGAGACTCCGTCTAGGTATGTTGCTCGCACTATATTCAGCTCTTCACTAGTACTACAGGTCTACAGCAACTAAAAACCTTTCGATTTTCTTCTCCCTCTGTCTTCTAAAATGTTCCCACTGCGACTGAATGTGTATTCGCCAACCGTTATACACCAAGTTTATCAAGTTGTAAACGAGTTTCGGGCCGGCCATATTTCGCCG